TGAAAATAACGCAAACATTATTTTCCATTTTATTTGCTAGACGTGTTTCAGGTCTTGTGACCTTCATCAGGTGAAGAAGGGTTATTAACACATTATTTAAAGGAATTATATTTTTTTATATGTCTTCCTATGTTTAACCTCCAAACCTGTAGGAACAGACGAAAGCTTGTAGTAAAAATAAGAACTAATGCAGCAGAAATTTATAGAAACAAGGATCTTTTCATTCATAACAAGTTTGGGGGTTTTTGTATATTATTTGAATTGTTTGCGACGATGGATATCTCGCCAATTAAATCATTAACCTTTGCATTTGTTTTTGTGTGAATAATTCATGAATTTGTAAATTGATTGCACGTTTATCGAAATTAAAATAACTGATCCAAGTGCGACTTTTGGATAATAAGTGCGACATTACTGTAATTATTGAACAATATAGTTCATGCCACTTTGACAGAAAATTTACCAGTAAAAAATTCGTTTATCACCATATTTGTACATGAACGCACAGCTGTAAAAAAATTTAAATCAAACTCAGCGCTGCTACTGCACGCTCCAAAAACAATAACTCATTTCAATAGCATTTTCGGATACAACAATACATATATTTTCGTTGTCCTCTTATTACTGAGAGAAAAAACAAGAACAGCATCTTTTCCATACCTGAAGATGTCTGTAGGAACAGACGAGAGCTTGTAATAAAAATAAGAACTAATGCAGCAAAAATTTATAGAAACAAGGATCTTTTCATTCATAACAGGTTCGGAAGTTTTTGTATATTATTTGAATTGTTTGCGACGATGGATATCTCGCCAATTAAATCATTAACCTTTGCATTTGTTTTTGTGTGAATAATTCATGAATTGGTAAATATATATATATATATATATATGTATATATATATATGAATGTGTACGTTGTGAATCACTTAATTGTGTCTTTCCGTATTCTAGTTCCTCGTACTCAGTGTCCCCCAGCTATGTGTTAAATAGCAATGTCGACTGGCTCATCTAAATATCTATCAGAAGAATAGCTCTGAATTCAAAACTGCGCCAATCTGAACTGTTATGTAAATCCGATCTTCCTCTATGGCAGTGATTGATGGATATTCTTCTCACATATGAAGAGGAAACTTGAATCCAGAGACATCTGGTTCTGCAAAAGAATGGTAAGAATATCATTGATCTGAGATCTGAGATCTGAGAAACGACGAAGTTTCAGAGAAAATGGAAACAAAAAGAACACCAGGAAGAGAAAGTTGAAATTTTTTAGAGGCCATAATGAGGAAAGACGACTTAGAAAATTTGATACTCACAGGACAAAATGAAGGCAAGAAGCAGCTAAGAAAAAACTCATAACCTATCTGTAGAGATTGAGTCAATGGATGATAGAGAGATAGCACAAAGACAAAATTTATTAAGAGCAACAAAGTTTAGGAAATTGTGGGGAGCCATAATAGCCAACAGCCTTGTCAGCAATGATGATACTTCTCTTGCTTATCCGCTGCCTTCATATTCAGGAATTTTAAAATCATCATCATTTTTGCAAAGGAATATCCCAAGGTCCAGCTTATCTATTTGCAACTATAGCGATAACATCTTGAAGGAAAACACCCACCAAAACTTACAGAAATTGTTTCAACAGTTACTGCTTATACGATATTCAGCTAAATGAAGTGGACTTCACAAGAACCATGTCAAACGACTCTGAAAAAATGTTTACCTTATTGGAGCGGACTTGATGAATTGACTCCGTTTAGATGAAAAATGACAGAATAAACAACGTTTGTCCTCTATAAGACAGTGGCCACAGGCAGCCGAAAACCGAGGAAGGCTAGCCGATTCGCAAAAAGGAAGGCGCAAGACGGAATAGACCCTTTTCTCCCTCGCTTCCTTTCTGCCTCTTTCGTCTACAACGGATTAAAAACACGCCCAGTGGTGCAACGGTCTCAGGGTTTAATTTCTTCGGTAACGATCTCGACAGAGAGCTATTTTTAAAGCCACAAGTTTTCGACAAGAAGAAGCTGCAATCTGAGAACGGACCTAATGTCTGGTCTGCGTTCCAACGGGACACACCGGTCTTCAGAAGAAACGATGGAAATTTAAGCTTATTAAAACTTTTAAAATTGCTCACTCCTTCATTTTATTTGAAGTATCGTTTATTTAGATATCATGTCAGCAAAAGATTCAGATCGTGAAAAACGAATATTTATTGATTAAGATTTTAGTAGTTTATTCTTTTACTTTTCATGGGTAATCAGAAATCAAGCAAAGACCTTTTGTTTATTTTTTTTTTTTATAAAGAGGGAAAGAGATAAATGAAATAAGTTTACGTACGCGTACATCTGCCATTTCTTGAAGCACCGTTCACGGTAAATGCCCAGGGTAGAGCCATAGCTCTTATCTCGCCGATTGCCGAAAATTTGATTGCAATGCCGCAAGATTTGTACCGAGAGGGCCTTTTATTTATTTATTTTTATTTATTTATTTATCGTGATTCTCATTCGACAATTAAAACTTTTGCTGCTTTTTCATCATCAAAGCTTTATTTTTACGATGGATATCCCTGTCGGCTGCACTTCCAGAGCTGGAAGAATAAAAATTGAAAAGAAATATATATAGATATATATATATTTAGAAAAAATGCAATCAAAATTTATCGAAAGATGAATAGATCGAGATTCAGGAAATTTTATCGCGATAAGGAAAGACAACGGGAAATTTAATTAATCTAACGTTTGAAATGAACGTTATTTAACAATATGGAAACAAATAAATTTCTGCTACAAACACACACAAATACATATATATATATATATATATATATATATATATATATAATATTACTTGATTTTATATATATAATATTGCTTGATTTTATGTATATATATATGTATATATATGTATATATATCTGTATATATATATATATATTAAAGTTAAAAATGTAATAAATATAAAAATTATATATATATATATATATTTTAAAGTTAAAAATGTAAAATTTATTTTATTATATTTTTAGATTTATTTTTAAATGTATTTTTATTCTTTAATATATTTAAAAAAATATATTCATACTTAAAGTTAATACAAATGATCTAAATATGATTTATTTTTAATCTTTTTAATATATCATATACTTAAGTATAATTTATTATTTTTAAGTAGGAAATTAACCTCTTAGATATATAACTTTTTTATATATAAAGCTCCCTCTTCAGCCCTCTTTTAGTTTCAAATTAACACCTCTTTTGTCATCTAACCCCAATTTAATGTCATAAGGTTAATATCCGGGTTTAATTTTATAAAACCTCTCCCCTTTAAGCTTAATATCTTCTAACTCCCCACTAACCACCGTCTCGGGCATTTCGTCTGGTTATCCATTTTTCGACGGCTGTTAAAGTTAAATTTCTAAATGAGGCGAACACTGTCTATACACCGGGGTTGAATAAGACTGATATAATTGTCGTCAGTTAAAATAAATCTACCTATGAGGTAACTATATATATATATATATATATATATATATATATATATATATATATATATATATATTTAGGGTTGGTATTTAACGGATTAAGTAAGACACTGTAGTTTTGGTTATTCCTTTTATTTATCCCATTAATTTCAATTTCCGCCAAGATCATCTTCAGGATTGAAATGTTAAGATAAAAAAATGAATGTAATAGTGATAGTTGTGTTGGTTGAATTTCTTTTTATAGAGAACACTTCAAGAATTTGACGTTTATGTATTTTCATTTTCCTTGTGGAGTATACATGTATTGTCAATTACTATTTCTTTAAAATGTGAAGTGGTCAGGAATGTTCTTTTAAACGTTGTGAAGCAGTACTTGAATCCGACATGTGTATTGTAAGCCTTCTTGACAATGTCCTCGTGAATTTGAGAAAAATAGATACACATACTGTGTATAGATTATTCAATCCAAACACACACACACACACACACACACACACACACACACACACATATATATATATATATATATATATATATATATATATATATACACAGGTGTCCATAAAGTTTGTGAGCACTTTAAAAATTATGACTGTATTTTTTATTTGAATATTGCTGCCATATATGGTCTGGTGCCCCTTCTGTCTGCCTCAGGGTTCTTGATAGGCTCCAGAGGCGGATATGCAAATAGTTGGCCCTGCTCTGGCATCTCGTCTAGAGTCAGGACAAAACAGAACGCGCCGTCGCCCCCTCTGTCTGTTCTACAAATACTTTCACGGAAATTGCTCCGAGGAGCTGCATTCGCTGGTTCCCAGACGTCATGAGTTCCAGAAATTACGAGGTTGGCATCCCGCTCTCACCCCTTCACTGTCGAAACTTAATTCTTGTTTTTTTGTTGTCCTCTCTCCTTAGGGACGTTTTCTTTTTCACTTATTCTCTTATATTTGGTTGACTCTTGACTGCTGATGCTTTTGTTACATCGCTTGGGGGTAAAACCAGTGTTTCTCAACATTTTTAAGCAACGGCTCACCAAGAAACAAGTGAAAATATCATGGCACTCTTAACATTTCCAAAGGGTATACATTTAAATGTTCTCACCCTTTCACTGTTGAAACTATTAAATGTAGCCGTCTTTTCTACTCTAATAGCTTCATATCTCGCACTTCTCGCCTGTAGAACTCCCTTCCCTTTTCCTGTTTCCCTGTGAGCTATAATCTCCAGCTATTCAAGTGTAATGTCAATCGACATCTCCAGTTGCCTTGATCTATCCACTACCCTCATCCTTTCTTCTATCACTCCTATCTGATCTTGCTCTAAATTTTCTGTAACCCCTTGCGTCCTAGTGGCTTCCCGCCTTGCTTGGGGTGAAATGCTTGAAAAAAAAAATAATAATCTGTAAAAATGAGATAAAGTTTAATGTACCTAGTTTTAAGTATAGTTATGGAATAATTCTAGATGTGTTCTCACCCCATACAAGGCAATAAAGCTACTGAGCTACAAGGAGCTACAGGGTGTAGAAGAATT